TTTTGGCCCATTTCTCTAGTTTACCAATGATTGATTTAAGTTTTGCTTCTCTTTCTCCATTTTTTCCTTCAATTAAATATGTAATATCGTCAACAAAACCGATGGTTTGATCATTCTTATCGCATATTGATGTGTATAGATNATGACTATATATCGCAAACAATAATGGAGATATTGGTGATCCTTGTGGTACGCCCAGATTAATTATGTGGTTTGTTTCGTGGTTGTGATTGTTTGTTCAGAATTTGACGTTTCTGTCTCTAACAAAAATTCTTACCCAATTTATTTCATTTTCTGGTATTTGTAACATATTCATTTTGTATAATAACATATCAATATTTATATGATTAAGGGCCCCATGAACATCTTGAAGGAAAGCTATAAAGTTGGACCCTCAGTTTTCTCGAGGTTTTCTTTGACTTATCTTGTTAAGAAGTTGTAGTACAGCATCTTCTGCGCTATATTCTTCTCTTGCGCCAAACATGTTTTTTGGTAGTTTTTTCTATTAGATTTTGCTATGACACAAGTGATTTGATTTCGCCACTCTTTGGGACAAAACTCCAAGTTATAGTAGGTGTTCCAAATTATATATAATTGTTTTTTTATGACTTTTATGCACCATATCTTTTTTATAATTGAGTTAGAAATATCATTTGGCACTGGTGACTTTTTGAGTGGGATAAATTTTATTATCTCAGATATTTCATCAGTAGAAAATAGTGAATGAGCTATTGATGTATTTGGTGTTGTCGTAGGAAGTTTTGAAATGTAATTCAGGTTTGGAAAACCTCATTTAGGCATTGTATGTCAATCATATCTCCATCTCCAGGTAAGGTTGTGTGAGATGATTGTTTTTGATAACGCAATCCTTGGAAAACTGTTTGTTGGTTTAACGATTTTTAATATTTACTCCATGTTTCTTTTTTGGATTGTTGAATTTTTTCTGCGAGTTGTAATCGAAAGGCTTTCCTTTTGAATGTATTTGTTTTGTTTTGTTTAATTTGTTTGAATATATTATCTATCTCTTCGGTCCACCAACGTTTGGAATAATAGCAGGTTTTCGACTTTGAAGGGTGTTTGTTTATTATGCCTATTATAAATTTGGATAACAGCGATGTTATAAAATTGAGATGCCCTATGGATTTTATATTTGATGTAGGTTGCCATTTTTGTAGCTCATTGTGAATTTTTTGCCAATCGCTTTTGTTATAATTATATTTTTCTGTAATCTTCTTGTTTCGCTGTTGATATCGACGTTTTCTATTTATGGAAAGGAGTAAGTGATCAGATCCAACTTCATTATACTTGATGAATTTTTGATGCTTTTGTCGTAGATTGACCGAGGTAGCCACGACATCCAAACATCCACCTTTGTTATGTGTTGGGAACTCAGTTGAATTCATGACTTGGAGTTTATGTTTATTAAAGCATTTGTAAAAATAGTTACCTACGTGTTTTCCAAGTGAAGTTTTTTTGTTATACCAAGAATTGTGCCATGAGTTGATTAGGTCTTATTTATACGAATGTTTTTCACTTTGTTTCACTTTATTTTCCATTTTCCATTTTCCATTTTCTATTTTCTATTTTCTATTTTCTAGTTTCTAGTTTCTAGTTTTTGATCTTCTAATCTTTATTTTTTAATTCACCCTTAAACTTTAATAAATGTTGATGCAATTAAAAACTACATGATATTACCAAACATTTAGTTGTCAAATCAACAAAAAACNCAACAAAAATGACAATCTAGCAATAAAACTTAAGCTTATCCGTTTTAATATTAATAAAACTATGTGGTCTATAATCTAGCTGCATCATCTGCCCCAGCACTAAATAATTATGCTTCCTTAGGATGCCAAATTAAATCCAAAACCACCAATGAGTTCTTTATTCTATGTTCTTTGAGCTTCTTTAACGAAACAAGCAACAGATTGGTCATAAAATCATTATAAACCATCCCATGAAATCTATGCTTCCATCACTATTACTAGATGCAAATAGTGGTAATCCCCCTTCATGGAATTTGATACTTCTAACTGCCTTTTCATGATATTGTAATGTTTTATATGGTGTATTAGACAACTCTAAATCATGCCATATTACTCTTTTATCAAATGATGATGCAATTAAATTATCTCCTCCATGATGAATGTCAATGCTATTCAACCATCTTGCCCCTGGAAGCAATTTTTTGAACCAAACCTGTTTTGCCAAGTCATAAATCCTGACATATCTTTGAGAAACAAATAACTCAGGTTTAATTGGATGGAATTTGGCATCCATTATTATTCCTTTGCTTTTATTAAATGGACTTTAAGAACAATGTTTAGAGAATTGATAAATTGTGACTGACTTGTTGGCTCCTTGAGGAGAAACTGTAAAAAAACAATCATATTTTCTATGCCATGAAAACCTTTTTATAACTTTTGATGTATTAACTACAATAGAAATCCCCAAAGATTCCTGCATTTTATTTGGTGTAACCCATTTTTATACTTCTTTAACAAATTGTTTACTGATACTCTCATTATTATTTTCATTTTCATTTTCATCATCTTTATCATCTTCATCATCATCTTTATCATCATCTTGATTGTGATCTTTATTTTCTTGTTTACTATCATTAATACCAATATGATGAATTTTATTTTGCTGGCCAGATTTCTAGTAACCGTAGACCTATTTGATTAATAACTTACTCATGTTTTCCAACGCAAATCTAAAGAATGAAAGAATAATTAAATAAATAGTTTCTCCTAGTGCTATAGATAAAATAACAGTNTCTTGATTTGGATTCCATTCTAATAATGCAATATGCGTCCGGTTTAAACCTGGTTTTGGCACAACTTCAATTTGAAAAAGTTCTCTTGAACACAATTTTTCCCAAATTTGCACACTTCAGTCGTCTGAAACTGTTGCTAACCATA